CTTTTCCTGCTCCTCCTCCTCCTCCTTCTCCTCGTCCTCCTTTTCCTCCTCCTCCTCCTCCTCCTCCTCCTCCTGTTCCTCCTTCTCCTCCTCTCTTCCTCTTCCTCTTTGTCTTTCTCTTTGTTCTTTTACCGCCTCCAGCGTTGAAGGCAAAACTCTCTTATTCTTTTCCACGTCTCACTAGAAAAAGGAGAGTCTCAAGTTGTGACTTGTGACCTCAAACAGACTCAAAGCTGCCTCCTCCCTGGATTCCTCTGGCAGAGGCCAGCTACAACTGTGACCTCAGGCACAGCAAAGGCGGGAGTGCCAGTACCTGTCCGTTGGCCCAAGCGGCCGGGAGAAGTTGTTCATTACGGCCTCAGTGTGACAGCGGGTGAGGATGACCACCGCCTGGCACAGGAAGGGCAGGAACGTGCTCTGCTGCGCAAACGATGTGATGCTGCGCAGGATGTAGAGGATCGGAGGCACCTGAGAGAAGAAGGGGAGAAAGAATGACTTGCTGCATCCTGCACTCTGCAGGGCCTAGCCATGTGCAATGGCCAGAACAAGTCCAAGACACGTGGCAGAAAGTCTCTTACGTTCCAACTGATGTCCTTCCCGTGCATCTCCAGGAAGGTGGTCATCCACTTCCCAGCAGCACGCACACGCACTCCGTTGGCTTTCCGGATCGTCTCCTTGATGGCCGCCATGAAGTCAACGGTGCGTTCTAGGGGGAAGTTCCTGCACACAATCTGCAGAGAAATGAGAAGCGGGGGAGATCCCATCACTGCTCTGCTGCAGCTCTTCCAAACACAAAGCAGTCTTGAGGGCATTCTTAGCTCAGCGGCTTGCCGCTCATTCAGGCGGCAATCACAGCGCTCCTGCTGTCTGTACCCTGCTGTTGATACGGAAGGCGGTTGAGCCTTCTCTCAGCTTCTGCACCCATGGTGTTTGCTTACATGCAAAGCCTACCTCCCAGCAGCCACAGTCACACATGCACACGCACACACAGTCACATACACACACACAAACGCAGGTCATGGCATCAGCTCCTTGCTCTGGGTGCCTGAAGGCCAGACGTAGCTCAGAGCCTCCTGCTACTGGCTGAGAAAAGCAGTCTCAGGGTGACAGCTCATTTTGGAAATGGTGTCAGAGGCTGGGAGCAGCACAGGGCCATGCAGAATTCTATGGACAGAGATCCCACCACTCCTTCCTGGATCCACTTACTCTTGCCATTTTGGACGTGGTCTGGAGCTGAGAGGCGATGCTGCAGGCATGCAGCCCCTCGCACAGGCTCTTGATGTCACCCGTCTCAATGACTGTGTTGACTGTTTTGGCTGGAAAGAGCAGAGGGAGAAAAAGGAAGTCATGCTTCTGGAAATAGGACCGCTTTCCACAGGGGAAAGACAGAGGACAGGATGGGGACAAGAGGTGAACCATGCACGGTGCCTCTCCCTCCTGTAAACAGGGCCCAGCCCGTGGGGCTCTGGTAGTGCTACGGAGGAGGGCAGAGGGCTGAAGCACGCCTGCTCCACTCACCTTGGATTTGCAGAAGGGAGCTCAGACAGGTGACGGCCAGCTGGCGGGATGCAGGCATGGGGTCACACGTCAGAGGCGCCAGCAATCCCACCAAGGAGCCAAAGTGCTCACAGGCATCTCCTCTCTGCAGGGGTGAGAGGCAGGAACAAAGCTGTAGACGGCCCCAGCTCTCCCCAGCTTCTCTCATCTGTGCACAGATGTACACAGCCAGGAAGACAACGGCCCTCATCAGAAAGACCACCAGATGACCAGGGAGAAATGCCTCACATGCATGAAGGAACTGAGACTCAGGGCGGGGAAAAATGTCAATCATTCTGGGGACTCATGACAATAAAACAACCTTTTCTTGGACATCCAATGCATATGTGAGCAGCTTGCTCTTTAAGCGTGTCATGGTTTTATGATTTTTGGTCATCAGTATTCCACACCATAACATCATGTAATGCACTGGGGGGGGTTGGTATGACTTCTGCCAAATGTTCATCCGACGTAGAAGAACTGCATTTCCCCAGAAGGCTTTGCGGTCAGCAAGGAGATATAGCTCTGTGCAAGGTCACCTGATCCTTCTTCTTCGCCTGCTCTTCGCCGTCTGCGCTTCTCCATCTGCACTTCGCCGTCTGCTTTTCTTGAGTCACTCAACTGGACTGCACGTCTCACCTCAGCGTCGTGGTCAGGTCTATCTACCATCCAGACAGACTCTCTCTCTCTCTCACTTTATTTTTTGCTAATACTATATTTAGTAATTCATTTGTTCCTCCTCAGATTGTTGCTGTTGTTTTCAAGTATTTTGGCGTCCCCTGTTTCCCCTTTCCCAGAGGCACGGATCCGCAGATCCCTCCGCCCTGCTGGTCACGGAACCGGGCCAAACCAGCCCGTAAACCGTTGACATCATACCAGACAAAGTTATGGCTCTTCATAAATATTTTCAAAAAGACATCAATAATAAATGCCTCTTTCTTTCTTCCTACATCTGAACCTGTAAGGTTTTATTTTGGAAAATTAAATCTACCTACTCCACAAAGACAGGATGTTCCCTAGATGCCACTGAATGAACTTAGTATAAAGTGATCACTGGGGTATGCCAGGGATGGAAACACTCTCTGATGTGTGGATCCTCTTGCTCTTACAAGACAGAAGAGTCTAAAATGTTGGAAGACATATTAAACAGTTTTAAATATTTGTTGGGGAACAAGAATGAAACTACCACTGAAGTCAGAGTTGTGTATACTGTCTGACCAGGGGCTGGATTGGCCCAATGCTCTTCAGAAGTTACAATTATAACCCATGGTTCTAAAAGATCTTATGCTACAGAGAATAAAAGCCAACTTGACTTCTTCAGTCTAAAGGCAGTTGCTATGCATTCAACCTAAAGGTTGGTCCTGAAAAATACAACCATTTTCTTCCATTCAGCATTTCCACTCTGACTGCCACTTTTCAAACTCTGTTTCACTTGCCTACCTCTTTTGTTGTTGTCACCTTGGACATGCAGGTGTCTTAGGATCTCTCTCAGGCCCCAAAGTGCAGGTTCAGGTAATTCCAGAATTTAAATTTTGCTGCACACATGCAGCTAATCTAATGTTCTTTGTTTGGAAACATTTACTAGTTTCAGAATGGTTCAGTGTGCATCTAGTGGTTGCATTTCAGAGTCTTGCTTTTAAATTCAAGTAAGTGTTTTGACTACACTGTTGCCCAAATTAACAAGCTGCATTTATCTATGAAGCCATGGAAGACAAACCAAGGCAAAAAGACTTCTTTCCAACACAAAGCATTCCTCTTCTATTTTACAGACTAGATTTTGTTTTGTTTTACTATTTAAGAAATACTGGAGACTTACTGCCTCAGCCTATGCCAGCAAGATATTATCACATCGTACATTACAACAACTCTCAGCTTGTTTCTTGTTTATGCTAGTTATAAGCAATGCAAGAAGTCTGGAAAGACCTTGACAATTTTAGAAATTATAATGAGAGCTCTGTGACTGCCTTTGTGCTGGAAAATCATTACAAACTCCCTTCCCCAGGAGCGCTTGCATAACAACCTATAATGAATCATCCTCTTCTTCTTTCTTGCTTTAAGATCTCTCTGGTATGTAATGCTATTAAAGACATGGTCTGAAAGCATGACCCACATTAATCACCAATAGTTCTGATGTTCCCAAAGAAAAAGATATAGATGCAAAGATCTTTTTCACAGATAAAAGAACTGCCTTCTCCTCTAGTAGGTCTAAACATCCCTCATCTAAATATGAAATGGGAAAAAATCTTTAAAATCTGCTTCTGAGTCACTCTTTTTTACATGAGTAGCTAAGATGTTGGCATGCAGATGGTAAAAGACAAAGTTTGTATTCAGTGGTACAGAAAAAAAACACAACCATCTTTGTTCATATTTCACCATTCTGCAATATTGATCTTACTGGGTACTGGGCATGAAGACACTAGTATGAATTACAGAACATACATTTTTTCTGTTCCTTCATTCAGCATGTGTTGTGCTGCAGAGCTACAGAATCGTTCCATTTGTCAGCTGAGTCAGATATATTGTCTCTTAGATGTACTCACTCATTTTTCATCTTTACCTGTAACTTATGCTATTACTGTACAGCATGGCAGAACTGCCTATCCATCATGTGAACACACATTACACAAAACAGTTTTATTAACAAAATTAATAAAATATTTTGTTAAATAAAATAAATAAATAAACTGTCCCATGTGCTGTGAATGCAGCCTATCACCACTCTACTGTATTTTGATATGTAAAGACTAATGCATATTGTAACCATAAACATATGTGTCAGCCACTGCAGAATCAGCTGAAAAGCCTGATCGTGACCTAGGGCTTGTTTGGTGGTGTAGACTGTCACTCATTTCAGAAGGAACTGAAGCCACGGACATCATTACAAATGTTAACCCAGCTACATATTGAAACACTTGATAGGCATTTCAGACCACAAGTCCCACTTAAATCCATTTAAAATAAGGAAGTAAAGAACAGTAGGCTCCAGCATTGTTCATCCTTCTTTGTGTATTAGTTGCTGCAGTAGAATGGTGCATTCTTCTGCAGGTTTACCAGCCCCTCCTGGTTCCTGTCTACCAGAGAGCCAGATTCTCTAGCTTTTCCTAAAAGTTAGGCTTCATACAGTGCACCAATACCTGGACACAAGGTACACAAGCAGGCATCATTGAACACTCCCTGTCTTCAGGTTCAAATGGAGACAGATTTGGCCACAGAAAAGCCCACAGGGTAGCAGTGTATGAGCACAGCCTGTGTGTACCCCTGTGGCCCAGGCCAGAGCTGCAGACCATGGATGGGGGCATTGGTAGGGTAGGAGGGCTGGGGGAGAGCTGCAGCCTGTGGGAAGCCCACGGGGATCAGTTAGGGAAGGATGGCTTTAAGGCTGAGAGTGGCCGTAGACAAGCCACTCTGTCACCAGAGACAGAGCATTATGGACTGACCACAGCCCCCCATTGCCCATTTCCCTGTGCTGCTCATAGGGAAGTGATAGAAGAAAGCAGATGGGAGAGAGAGGTGGTTTTAGCTTACTTTTAATTCTCACTGCCCTATTGTGCTATCAATAGTCAATACATTTTATTATCTCCCTTATGGTAAGTCTGTTTTTCCTATGATGGTGAGCAATCTGTCTGTCCTTATCTCAGCTCATGAGCTTTCTCACAGTATTACTACTGCTGAGTAGGGGTAGAGAGAGAGCAACTCAGTGAGCAGTTGGTGATCAGCAGGTCAGTGCATCACAATGGCACTAATAGCTTCAGGCTGTTTTTATATACTGACAAATTGAGGCCATAAATCTGTACATTCTTGGCACTGCTGGCACCGGTGCATTTCTTAATAGGAGAGCAGAGCCTAGCAGGATAAAAATAAGTAGCTTTTGATTCTCAGAGAACTAATAGAAACAGACATCTATGCTGTGAAAAATTCAAAGGGTGAAAATTTATTTTGAAATCCCAGCCCCACAGAAACCTGCTTTCCCCATTAACTTGAATACTGGAATTCAGCTCAGCTCCTTCTCTCTTTGGTTCACCAGAGATGTCCACACTTCCTATGACAACAGCTAAAGTTCTTGCCCCTGGGGCAAGCCCATGATGCTTCTTTATCCCCGCCCTAAGTAACTACTGCTGGTTGCTGTCAAAGGCAATGTACAGAACCAGACAGCCCTTTTGTCTGAACGAAATGTTCTTATGTTCTTAGTAGATGAAAATGCTGCATGTTCTTTAACACACCATTAACTCACAGGAATAGTTATCTTGCATCAGCACAGATGGATTATCCTTGTCCAAGAGATTTTAATCACACTACAAAGTCACAATTAATTTAATGGACCTTTTCTGGTAGTCTGCTCATTCATGTATCTTTTTAGGTCTGTGGACAGCTCCTGTGGTTCTTAATGCCATATTATGCTGAGCTACTCTGATCTTTCAGTCAGGACAGTTTGGGACCTCATTTGTCTTTCTGGACTCACAGAGGAAATTACAGGATGGTATTAGTGGACCATTTGCTCTTAGCCAATATAAATGAAAGTGGCATCTGAGCTCAAGTAGGCAGATTAAACTAAATATGAAGCATCAGCATGCTTAGGTGAAAGCTAACGATGGGAGGATTTTGACAGTCTATTACTTAAACATTGCACTGAGAGCTCATGAGACGCTAATAGTTTGAAAACAGGAACTGGAGAGAATCTCTTTCCCCCTCAAAACAGGAAACAGCGCTAGAAGGAAACACATGGATCACCAAACCCTTTTCCTACTGCGATCCATCTGAAAAACAATTAGCTCACTCACTCCCATCATTCTTACTGCAATGCTGTTGTAGGGCCTCTACTTCTTATTCCTGTCTAATTTCAAGCCTACATTTACTCATAGATCCTGTATACACAGGAATGAAAATGTCAGCAGTGAGAGTTGTGACTGCTAGCAGCTTGGAAACAAAAGGTCTTTTGCTTCTGTCTGGGGAGCCATTGGCAGATCCACATCATCATCTGCAAGAAAAGCATTTCACATACAGCATCGATGGTAATGTCATGATACACCTTGTGCCTGATCTCAAGAGATCTGCATGGACATATAAACTGAAGGGGGCATGAGCTGAGGAGTCTTGGTACAAGCATTTAACTGCAGCTGAAATCCAGAGCATATTTTCTCACAGAT